TTTGGGAAGGAGCAACCCATGCCCCGCTGTTTAGCGTGCCTGTCGTTCGGGACCCTGCTTGGATCACCAGCCACCATGCAAACAGCCGCTTTGAGCATTTCACCGTGACTGTGATGAAGTCGCGACAATGAGAGAATAGGTTTGCGGTGAGCGAACGCGTGGACCGACGCTATCAAGCTGAATGAGAGCGGGTGCCGAGACAAGCCATCCACGGTCCCTGGTGCCACCCGCCTGCTGCGAGATGCGCGTCTGAGCCAACTTTGGGAGCGTCACCACAACACGCCTACGCACCGACATGGCCACGACCATGTTCGCCAATTTCACGTCCGGCGACCGTCGCAAGAAAGTCTACGGCAAATCCGCGCGTCGCTCCACCCTGCCGCCGCCCCTTCCTGATTCCAACGATGATGCGCCGCCATCCCCAGACCGACCGCGGAAACATCCCGCAGCCGTGAACGGCTCGCTGAAGAAAGCCGGAGACACATTGAAGGCCAGCACGGGTCTGGAGAATGCGCGCGCAAGGACCGACGATGTCGACGTCTTCGATGTACCCTCTGATGACGACTTCATGTCGCGCCCGAAGCCCGCGAAGAAGATCGTAGCGAAACGTCGGGCACCTGAAGCAGCCTTGGAAACCTCAACTTCTTCTAGAGGGGAGGCCGTGGTGGCATCCAAGAAGCCAGCAAAAGCTTCACAGCCATTGCGCAAGCCTGACGACGCGAATACTGCCACCGTAAAGAAGACGCTGCCGACGCCCGCGCAAGTTGCAAAGCCCGTACAGGCACCGCCACCGCCACCGCCATCCTCGGATACGATCGCACCTCGGACACTACGCAGGAAGACGCCTCAGCCTGTGGGAGCACAGAAACAGACGGCAAGGGACCCGGAGTCATCACAGAGGCCGGTGGCCAAGGCAAAGGCGTCTTCCGAGACGACGGCCGTTGCGCCGACAGCTACCAAGGCTCAGAAGAATGCGAAGATAACCTCGGCACTACCTGCGAAAAAAACGGCAGGAAAAGCTCTTGCCAAACCGACCGATGACCTCGCTGTGTTCGATATACCGATGTCGGACGAAGAGGCTCCGCCAACTGTCAAAAAGATCTCACGTCAAGCTCCGCAGACAGCACATAAAGAGCCTCCCGGGAAGTCCAAGACAACATCGGAAGAGTCTCACAAGGACACTACCGAGTCGGACGAGTCGAATGCATCGAACAAGCGAAAGCGCAAAGGGTCCATGTCTTCGACTGCCACAGTGGCTACGTCAGTGGTACAACAGACGACTGAACAGTCGGCGCATCAGCGGAGCCGGAAGGTTCAGAAGAACGAGGAAATTGCTTCACCGGGGCATGCATCACTATTGCAGCCCGTCGCAGGCGCAACGCGGAAAACGCAACCGCCAGCGCTGGCACTCAACAAACCGACAAGGACGAGGCAACGTACCGTACCTGTCATGGCACCGCGAAAGATGACCAAGGGCCAGTCCTCTCCCGCTACTCTAAGCGGCATGATACCGAATCGCCAGGTCCCCAGGCCATCTCCTGTCAAGAAAATCCCAGACGTGCCTGAGATTGAAGACGAGACTATGTATGACATACCAGATCCGTTGACCACCCCTGTTCGGAAATCCAGACCTGTCGTACCTGGCTCCGTGACACCGCGACAGAGGGATCTCTTCAGCGGCTTGCTAAGCGATTCATCGTCCTCTGCTACACCAATGCCAAGCCTGGCGAACTTACAGCTGACGGATCGCAAACCGAGATCACTTATCGGTAACCTGGCAAGATCAAAGTCTGATGTCACTCACAGTGCCAAGGCCCGTAAGAGCAGACTCATTGACACTCTTAAACCAACCGAGACCAGCTCGGACGATGACGAAGAAGACAGCAGCAGCGATGGTGGAGAAGAGTCTGAAGCAAGCTCAAAACATCCCTCGTCTGCAAGAAGATCTGTACGAGAAGTCGGAAAAGAGCAAGCTTCAACGGCGTCCTCTGACGACATGGATGTGGACAAGCAAGCGAATGTGGACTCACAAACATCGCAGACAACGTCTGGTTTCGGCATGCGTCCAAAGCTCACTTACGCAATGGCGCGGTCGTACCTAAAGGAAGACAATCCAGAGGATGACCTACTGATCTCGATGGATCTAGACGATGGCTTTGGGTCTCAGTCCCAGATGGATACCAGATCTGTATCCGAGGATGACCCCGAGCAGAACAGTCAAGCACAGGCTCAACAAATTCACGAGCTCAAGACACGGGGGCGTAACATGATCATCGGATATGAGATCGAAATGATGATCGGAGACATATCCGTTACCAACAGTAAGAGTATGAGGCGTAGCGCAATGATCGATCTGTGCACCAAGATGGCCGATGAGACGTTCTGTCATCAGCTTGTCGACTCGGCTCTGGCCCATCAGTTCTTCCAGAACATCGCTGGCGGTCGCGAGATTATCTTCGACTTTGTCGCTGCCGTCGCCACAGTATTTATCCTCCGTACCAACCCTACCCACTCTGTCCTAGACGAGTTACAGGAGACCGGCAGTTTCGCTCACTTGATCGAGCTAGCCAGCAATGATGCGGATATCAAGGAGATCGCCAAAGATCGCAAGTCGAACATGTCTAAGATTGCTAAGGAATCGGTATTCACGTTTCGCACCCTAGTCCAGCAAAGCTCTATCTGGTCATCCAGCGTAGTACAGAAGATATCCCCCCAGCTTGTCGCGCTGAAAGCTATCGAGTTGCTCATCATTGGTATGCGGAAGGCTGGCAATGCTGATAAGCTACTTGATCAAACGATGATCTCCCAGCTCGTTGAGATGGCTTCGAAATCGAATGATCGGTTGCAATCGGGCAAGGAGGGAAGCGCGGACAAAATATGCCTGGAAACAGTACTTTCCATACTCGAGTCAATTTCTGCCACGAGACAGATCCAAGCCTCCTGGCCGACGGGTGTGCTTCAGCGTATTGCGGGCTTTATGCCTCGGTTCTTCCAGCCTGACAACGCTGCATCAACTATGCTCGCTGTCAGGCTATGCATGAACCTGGCGAACAACAAGCCAAAGGCTTGCCAGCCGTTCTCAGCAATGGCTTTTGTGCAGCCGTTGACGCATTCCATCGTTGGAAAGTTTGAGTCGATCAGTACGGGGCTAGCAACGGAAAAGCGGACAGAGGTTTTGGATAGTCTCATCTTGAGCTTGGGTGCTGCCATCAATCTTGCGGAGCTGAGCGACGAGATGAGGCTTAACGTCGCTGATCAGATTGACGCTCTGGTCGCCATCTTCCTGGAGGGATCAAAGCGTGCTTCACAGGTACGTACGCGTTCAGCAGTCATGCTTTCAGCAATGCTAACCCTGCTTTAGGCTGCTTCTGTGGAAGAATCGCATTCTGGTGTAGCCATTGGATATCTTGCCGTGCTCCTTGGTAATCTGAGTCTCAACGACCAGATAAGGGCAAAAGTCCGCACGCTGCTACCGAACGAGCGACTTGACACCCTTGTCAATAGCATCGAGGAATTTGTCCGCGTACACCAACACGTTGACCAGAAGGCAGGAAATCTTGAGGGGGCGGAGGGTCAAGAGGCTTTGCAGTCCTATACGGCGCGCCTCATGCTTGTCGTGGAACGGTTGCAGAACGCGAGCACTTGATGGTGCACAGATGCAGAGACTTGACTCCGGTATGCCGCCTGGGCATTGATTCATTACTGATCAGACGCACTTTGTCTTTACTTGATTAACCCTCGGGTTGTTTACCATTGGGCAGCAAGTTGTTTTCCTCCTCACAGGTAGCTTCTTATTGGTTAGGCCTTTGATGGCTATAGCATGATACCCCGAATTACGCGTATGCGGTCATTGCTGGGAAGGGATCGCTTGTATTGTATATAAAGATTTCGATACCCCAGCATCTTGGACAGAAACGTGGATAGTAACGGTCGTGCAGCGAGGCTCTTCAGGCTAGCAAATGACCCGTAGCAGTTATATGAGAAACCTGCAAGCTTATACTGATTGAGCGACATGTCATCTATTCGTCGCCGCTATCCGCTCGTATTCCCATCGCGTAGGCCGTAAAGGCTAAATGAGGGCTTGTAACCTCGCACGTACCCGTCCGTAAGGCTGCACCCGACCCAGAAGGCCGGCTCAAGTGACGCAACAGCCGGCATGTGGAGTGGCTCTGCCGTCGGGACAATTTGCGAGATACCTTCTACAGAACTTCCATGCAGCGGGCGTGTAATATCCGGGCGAGCAACATTTTTCACTTTTGCAACGACTTGCATGTGATGGTTTCGCCTTGAGTCAAGAACGCCCGACATCATTTCGGCTAAGTTGTATGCTCGGGGCGTCGGGAAGGGCAGCGATAGTTTCTGACATTTCGGAGGTTCTTGTGGCGCTGAGTGGTTGTAGGTGAATGGAGTATCTGCAGGTAGTGTGCTGGACAGGTTTGCGCTAGGCTCGAGACGATTGGCAATACGTAAATGAATGCTTCGAGAAGCTCTGGATTCGTCGGCTACGGGGTGCACTGTTCGGCTTGGATGGCCAGAACTGCGGAATCCAATACCAGCTGCTCGGTGCCAAACCCAAAGCGATATATCATGGTTGCCCAACTTTCATATGCGGACGCGAGTCGTTGCTGCTATATCGAGATGGGAGCCGGCAGACATGACGGCATCAGCACCCGGTCGGGGACTTTTTTCGTGAGCGACGGCTGCTCTTCACCTACAACTCTGGCACGACGCTCGCCGAAGTTTACCTCGATCGCATCCTCACGACAGTAGCTACAGCGCTCGGGCCAGTGAACCAGCTTGTTCGTGCCACACGCACCCATCACCTGCAGCTAGACGGCGTCATTCCGGGCTGGAAGCTAGCTCCTACAGGCAATTGGCAGGTCCGAAGCACCAAACGCAACCTAGGCAGCTACATCGCAGCGGTGGACTGAGACAGCCAAACCTCAAACCTGGCGAGTCGTTCAGCTTCCTCACGACCTCCTCCCAAACCCAGCAGCAAGATGGCGCCCCCTCCCAAGCAGAGAAAGGTGGCCATTGTCGGCAGCAGAGCCGTCGGTACGTGGTTACCCGAAGCTCGCGCAGCTTCACATGCAAGTACCAACAAACAGCATACTGACGCGAGGGTGCACAGGCAAGTCGAGTCTGACGGTGCAATTCGTCGACGGGCACTTTGTCGACAGCTACTACCCGACCATCGAGAATACTTTCAGCAAGATGATCAAGTACAAGAACCAGGACTATGCGACTGAGATCATCGATACGGCTGGCCAGGTACATGAGGTTTTCTTTTCCCCCGCGTCGCGAAGCTCAGCCCAGGTCGACGCCCCACCTGCGATGCTTCACGCGCGTCTCTGCTGAGCATGCCATGCCGTGCACCTCAAGCTGTTACTGAGCACCCGCTGACTCGGGTACCGCCTCCCAGGATGAATACAGCATTCTCAACTCCAAGCACTTTATCGGCATTCATGGCTACATGATTGTCTACTCGGTTGCCAACAAGCAGAGCTTCGAGATGGCGCGCATCATTCGCGATAAGATCCTGAACCACCTTGTGAGTCTGACATGTGACACGCTCCGCGCCACTGCCTAACCACCCCTCACACTAGGCCGTCGAATGGGTTCCCCTCGTCATCGTGGGCAATAAGTCTGACCTGCGTCCCGAACAACGCCAAGTCACGCCTGAAGACGGCAAAGCCCTCGCCGCCGAGTTCAAATGTGCCCACACCGAAGCCAGCGCGCGCTACAACGAGAACGTACAAAAGGCCTTTGAGCTTATGATTGCGGAGGTGGAGCGGTCCCAGAACCCTGGTGAGCCCGCTGGCGGCAGCAAATGTACAGTCATGTAATTCCAAGATTCTTGACTGACATGAGCGCGTGTACCAGTCGGCGTGGACAAATACCCGGCTCTCCAGAAGGAGCGCGAGGACAAGGAGAAGAAGCGGCGGAACAGTGCGCACATGCTCAAGCACCCGTTCGACCATCTCACGAACGCGCTCAAGAAGAAGTAAGAGGAGGTATGCTTTTGTTTGGTTGTTGTAGATGGCATAGACGGTGGCTGACTTGTCGCGATGATTCTTTTACGCGTTCTGGGTTTTCACTATCCTCATGGAAGGCAATAGTGTGTAATGGCGTAATGGTGTGAGCGGCGGTGTAATAGGCGTTATTATCTGGTATTCTGGGGTTCAAGCTGTTTGTCAATGACGACGTTTCACGGCTGTAGTACTACGTATCACTTTACGTTGCTTTCAACAATAGACGGTATACGTTCATGTCAACTCAAAGTTGTGTACATTACTGTTCACGTGGAGTTCTGAAGGTCACGCTGGGCCCTGCATTTTCGACTCGACAGGCTTGCGATGCACCGACCACCACCCACCATTTCTACCCACAGACCTTACAGTATTAGGAAGCTCGAAGCTTTGACGGAAAAGCTACTGCTTTCAACGGCACTTCTGTCCAGCCTACTCGATTCGGCAGTTTGAGCTTTGATGCTCTGCAAGATGTGTTTTGCCTCCGATGCTTTCCTGTAAACCTGGAGTTGTGAGAGGTAACCCATCTACAACATGCACAAATGTAGTCACATCACCGGTGCATACGTCATTCATTTCTACCTTCCCAATAAGGCAGTTTCGCATCCCGCCCATCGAGTGCAGCACTTTCAATCCGCGTGGTATCCCAGCCAAAGCGGAAAACGCCAAGCGTTCTGAGCAGACTCGTCCTGATTCGCTCTAGTGCGGGTCGCTCAATCTAATCCCTGTCGCTGTTTGAGTAAGGTGCGGGACACTGATGAGTCCCGCGTTTTGTACATCTCTCGATACGAGTCTACTCACACCACACACGACGGAATTCTGCTTGTGATACGCAAGCTTAGAGACGAACAGGATGCTCGATATGTACGTTGCCTCTTTTTTTTGCGCGAGGAGAAAGTGGGAGCTGCTTGAATGCGCACGCGCTGAAGTCGGGCTTGGAGGGGCTGGAATTGCGGGAGTAGGCATGGAGAGGGCGAGATTGGAGGTTGCGTTGGGGGTATGAAGAGATATGGGCTGACATTCGCGTCTATACAGAAATGACTTCATCAAGGAGCGCGGCGGCGAGCCCGACGTATGTATTCCCCGACTCGTTCTCGCGCGACATTGAATGTTGTTCTCATGCTAATACTGTGACCAGAAAATCCGCGAGTCCCAGAAGAAGCGATGCGCGCCCGTAGAGATTGTCGACGAGATCATCGCAGACTTTGAAGGCAAGAGCGACTCCAAAAGTCTTGCCGGGAGGGTCACTAGAACTTACACCGGCTACAGACCACCGTCGCACACAGTACGATGCCACCCAATTCGGCTCCAAGATAAACGCGGTCCAGAAGAACATCGGCGCCAAGAAGAAGGCAAAGGAAGACGCCTCCGAGCTGCTCGAGGAGAAGAAGAAGTTGGAGGCCGAGAAGAAGGAGAAGGAGGCTGAAGCTGCGGAGAAACTGGCCAAGCTGCTCACAAAGACGAAGACGGTCGGAAACTACGTGTACAAGGATGTTCCAGTTAGCGATAGCGAGGACAACAACGCGGTTCAGAAGACATGGGCTCCTGCGGACCGGAAAGCAGAGTTCAAGGCAGATGGCATCCCACATCATGGTGTACTTGCGCGGTTGAACGGTTACGACCCGGAGAGAGGCACCAAGATTGTTGGGCACAGAGGATACTGCCTGACTGGATACGGTGTCTTCCTCAACCAAGCGCTCATCAACTACGGTCTTGAGTTCCTGGTAAGCGCGAAGAGAGAAGTTGTAAAGAACGCTATACTGACACAATCATTCCCCAGTTCAGCAAAGGCTTCACACCCAACCAACCGCCCTTCTTCATGCTCCGCGACCAGATGGCCAAAACTGCACAACTCTCCGATTTTGACGAGGAACTCTACAAGGTCACCGAGAGCAAGGACAAGCCAGAGACCGACAAGTACCTCATCGCCACCTCAGAACAACCCATCTCCGCCCTTCACTCCGAGGAGTGGCTACACGACAAGGAACTGCCCATAAAGTACGCCGGATACTCCACAAACTTCCGGAAAGAAGCTGGTTCGCACGGCAAAGACGCATGGGGAATTTTCCGGATACACCAGTTCGAAAAGGTTGAGCAGTTCCTCCTCACAAACCCCGAGAAGTCTTGGGAAGCTTTCGACGAGATGCTAGCCAACTCCGAGGAGTTCTACCAGAGCCTAGGTCTACCTTATCAGGTTGTTGCCATCGTTTCTGGTGCGCTAAACAACGCAGCTTCGATGAAGCGCGATCTTGAGGCCTGGTTCCCTGTCACAGGTGGTGGAGAGTACAAGGAGCTTGTTTCCATTTCCAACTGCACCGACTACCAGACTCGCGAGCTGGAGATTAGACATGGGATTAAGAAGTTGAACGCCACGAGGAAGGAGTATGTTCACGCGCTTAACGGTACTCGTAAGTTACTCCCGGCACCCCATCTTCTCGCTTGAGAAGGGAATCAGGAAACTGATTTGTGTGTTACAGTATGCGCGACTGAGCGAACTCTTTGCTGTATCCTTGAGAACTACCAGACACCCGAAGGCTTCGTCGTTCCGGAGGTGCTAAGGAAATACATTCCGGGTCAGCCTGACTTCTTGCCTTTTGTCAAGGAGTGGAGGGCGCCCAAGGAACCTATTCCTGACCGGACGAAGTAGGTGTTTGTCGCGCTATGTGGTGACTACGAGGATGCATTGGCGAACAGCATCGTGCCGGGAGATTCAAAAAGAAAAACCGTCTGTATGTTAAGTAATAGCCTTGGTGGGTAGTGAAGTAGTTCACGAACGAGATTACGAAAGAGCAATTCCACGCATCTTAGAGTGTTGAGATGTCAATGTGATCTAAATGATATCCTCCATCCCTAGAAACCACCCTGAAGGAAACAAAACATCTCCTTCTGATCCCCTCATCCCTCCCCCCGCCACCATCCACCGAACCATCACCGCCTCACTCTCCCCCTGTCTCCCCCTCATCCACAAGCCTATTCTCCCAACTCCCCAACCACCTCCACCCCCTACACACCTTATCCAGCTCTCCCAGAGCCTGATCCACATCTCCATCCCCGTCTCCCCCACCACCATCCGTCTTCCTCCCCTTGAACTCCACAAAGAAAACATAATGCCAATTCCGCACTCCACTCGGCCTCGTATTTATACTCGTCAAATTGATCCCATGACGTGAAAACACCGTCAGACAATTCGCCAGCGCGCCAGGATTGGAATGCTCGATGGTGAAGGTAACGAGTGATTTCCAGGTGTTTGCGTTGGAGCTGGGTGATGGCGTCGTAATAGTAGTTCTGGAATTTGGCGCGGTAGTCGTCTCTACACCCCCATCATCGTCTTTCCGGCGTATGACGAAGAACCTCGTGCTGTTACCCTTCTTATCGTTGATTTCCTTGGCCAGCACGTCCAGTCCGAAGAGCTCCGCTGCGATTTCACTAGATAACGCGGCGGACTCGCCGGTCTTGTCTTGACTCGCGATTTCCGCGGCTTTGCTCGTGGAACTCACGTCGTGCCTCTCAGCCGTCTTGAGGTACCTAGCCAGAAAATTCTTACACTGGCCCCAAGCCTGAGGGTGTGAATACAGTTTCTTGATGTGCGAGAAGTCGGTTCCATCTCTTCCATCTCTTCCATCTCCATCTCTTTCGCCGGTACTTGAAGCATTCGAATACCCCAACAAACAGTGCTTAACAGCCACATACGCCTCTCCCGTAACAAGAATATCAGGATACTTGTTGTTGAGGTCGGCGAAGAGGTCGAGGGTAAAGACTACGCTGCCGTTTGAGCTGTTTTCAAAGGGCACGACGCCGCGGTATGCGATGCCGGATTGGACGGCGGAGAAGACGTCTTCGATTGTTATGGAGGGGGTGAGGGTTACTGGTGGCGTTGTTGGTGATGCTGGGGGGAAGGCGGAGAGGGCGGCCTGTGGGGGGTGTTGTTAGGATGTGGATGTGGGGGTTGGGTGTGAGGGTTGATCTTGATGGGGGAAGGAAAAGAAATATGTGTGTACTCGGATTTCTGTGACGGAAGGAAGGATATACGGAAAAGTGGTTGTGACGAAAGACTGAACCAGTGACATTGTCTGTTCAAGCTGATGGCTAGATTTGAGTGGGGGAACTCAATCACCTCTATTCCGCTTTTTAATTTGACTCACCTGATGTGTGTAGCTGCCCTCAGGACCTAAGAAAGCCACGATCGGTCTCTTTTCATCTGCCATGTTTGTGCGTGGTTCCTGAGATGTTGCGTATGTACAAAGATAAATCACCAAATCTCGGAATGACGTCGGAACCCGGTATCGGCGCTAGTAAAAGCAAAGACTAACTTGTCATCCCCATGGGGCGTGTTGCGCCCTAATGTTTGTCTTGAAATTGATCGAAAGGGTGGGGCCATGGACAAAGCACAGAACGTCACGCGCATCACTCAGAACATTCAGTCTCATTCTCAAATCAATTTTATATTCAGCTGGAGTAGAGCGAGCGACAAGCTGACGCATATTGGGCGAGCAATCTGCCTGTCCTTCTTCCGTAAAGGACTACTTTTCAAGAGGTTCGCAATCGACAATTGACGGTAGCCACCGTTCTGGATCCCTATGCTTTCTAGTCCTTATTGTAGCTAAGTTAGAGCTTCTCAGACCGAGGTTTGAAGAGGTCGAGCCTGTATGAGGCTGCTGCCTCTCCATGCAAGCGAGAGCGGGTCGTGGTAAGAATGGTGCTGGTCGACCTTGTAAAAATTAGTCAATGGTTGCTGGGGGACGGATACTAGTCGTACATTGCAAACCCTCCATAGGCACTCCCATCTTACAATCTGGAAAGGCGAAGTGTCGTTGCTTCGACTACTCCGGCCTTGATCTCGGACACGTCTTTTTGACTTTTCGCGCAGGTAGCGGACGTTCCGTCACTCGGAGCGAGTGGGGACGCTACCTCGCAGTCAGCGAGGACGCACAACCGTCAATCATCGTAGAATTCATCTTCATCTTCGTCGAAGTCTTGCAGTTGCTCAAAGTTGAGCGCATAACGGAGGATGGCGCCGATACCACCAAAGCCCTTGACGAACTGGTTGCCCTCGGATGAACGGTCGGAAACAAACTCCAGGTTGGCACCAAAGTCGCGGTACTTCTCGGCGAGCCACTCAAGCATGGAGCCTTGATCGATGACTTCCATCTCTTGGCCGGTTTCCTTGTCCATGAATATGCTTCGGTCCTCTTCTTGCTGCTTGGTGGTGTGGAGGATGATTTCCGCGCCCGCAGAGCTCTTGAGAACCCAGCGAGTAATCTCCAGGTTCTCAAAGACGATCAGAGTCTCAGCAGCACCAGCCTCCAGAGCCTTCAGGGTGTCGTCGATACCGTAGCAGACCTTGCCGGAGTCCTTGGAGATGTGGTCAAAGTACTCGTTGATGAGCTTCTTCTCCTGAATGAACTTGACGTTGCTGAGGGTCTCGCCAGCCAACTCGATGGCCTGGTTGAAACCGTTCTCGCCTCCGTAGGACACATCGACGACCTTGATGACCTTGGACTGCAGACGGTTATCGAAGAGATCGGATTGGTTAAGGTCGTTCTTGAAGTCGGCGGAACCAGCGAGAATGATACCGGCTACGTTGACCTTGTCGGCGGTGATGAAGTTCTGTACAGCCAGTTCGGCGACCTTGCGGACGTAGTTGTGGCGCTTCTCTTCACGAAGACGGGCGAAACGCAGAGCGGATTGACCACCACGGCCGTGCTTCTTGGGGAGATCGACGGAGAACCTGCACCGATTAGTGAGCTGTATGCTAAAAGGTATTGGTCGCACTCACTTGTGGACAATCTCACGCGTGTTTCCAGACAGAGTGCCAAAGAGCGCACCGTTTCCGTCCATGATGATGAAGCCAAACTTCTGATCCGACTCTAGCAGTTCGCTCAGGGCCTCGGTGTGGAATTTGTTGTCGCAAAGGTATAGCGACGTGTTGATAGGCTTGAAGGGCTCGAAGTCGATGTTGATCTTGCGCTCCTTGCCTTCCGCGGTGATAATTTCACCGCAGTAGACAACGAGGCCATTGGGCGGGACCTTTGAGTATAGCTTGAGGCGCTGCTGGGTCGAGGTAATGGCCGACAGGACGGAGAGACGGTTGACGCGCGACTTGATGTTGGAGGCGGTACCCTGGAAAATTAGTGACGGCGCCGGCGCAGGGTGTCCTGGTACTCACGAATTCTTCAGCCAACATCTTCGCGGCACGTGAAACCTGATCCTTGGGCGCTACACATGGTCAGTCTGCGGCATTTTGCTAGGTCGTCAGGTGTCACATACGGATGATGAGGGAAATCATGGATGTGCCATTCCCGCGGGCTGCTTCGAGACGCTTGATTAGCTTCTTGACCTTCCAGATCTCAATGTTCTTCTCGGCCTCATTGGGCTGCTCATTCTTCCCGGACGACATGGTCGCGGCGGTGGTGTCGAGGTGAGGTAGTGGTGTTGGTGGGGTCGAGAGATTTTCTTGTTCGGCGAGGGGCAAGAACAAGCGACGTAGCTGCCGACTGGCGGCGGGAGGAGGGTGGAGAGCGCGGCCTGTGACTACTGCGCGCCTTGGCTACGTGAATGCGAAAGTCTTCAGGAGAGGCAAACGGCAGCCCACTCGGCTTATGTGAATTTATTTGTCCCTGACTGTGCCCGTAAGGCAGCACAGTCACGGTAGGGCAGTCGACTGGGCGCTGACAGAGGCTCGCTTGCACGGCCACTCAGCGGGCGGCGGGCATGGAGAGCAGCAGCAGCGCATGTGCAGTAACCCGTTATCAGCGCGTGCCTTGGGTAGCTCCGGCTGGGGGCAGCTATGACGGCAGACCGGCGGGGCCGCATGAATCCCTCGTGATAGCCATCTTGACTTTCTGCGTCTTTCTATGGCAGAAGTGTCTCGCTCGGCGCTTCTTTATATAATCAGGACGGTCATGGATAGCGGCTATCACCCGCAATCCACCAGGCGCAATCTCATCCCGACGATAGCCAGCTTTCGACTCAAGTAGCTCCCGCCTCCCTGCAGGGTTTGAATCAACAGTTTTAGACGATATATCGCCTGTCCTGCCCCATACGTTCTTCTTGGTCGCGCCTGCTCCATCTGTCGTGACGCCCTGACGTACTCACCATGGATAACAGAGGGAAGCAGCCATCCGCCTGGAGCGCCTACGACTCCAACCGCCCATCCATCGACTCAGATACGGAGAGCCATGTGCAGTGGGACGAGCTCTCGAGGCGGCCCAGTGGAGAGAGCAATGCCGGGAGGTGGACGGGCACCGCGGGAGAGCTGCGCAGGCGGAGGTGAGCATATCGCGCCGTTCGCGTGACACGGCAGCTAACAGAAAGCAGGTCTTCCGTAGGACAGCAGATTAGCGCGCTGGGCGAAGTTGGAGGCGTCAACAGCATCAACAACTTTGCGCGATCGTGGCAGCGTGCAGCAGGCTTCTTCGAGATCACCCCCGTGCGCCCTTCCTTCCGCGTCGAGACAGACGACGAAGACGGCGACGACACAGAGGAATCCGACTTCTCGCGCAGCGGATTGCCCACACCAGTACCCGACCAACGATCCGCCCTGCGACAGGCCTTCCAGAACGAGGGCAGACGCGCATCCGACAATGCCATCACAGACGAGGAGAATGGCGCGACCGAGCGGAGCCAGCTGCTGCCCAACGGCGTCGAACAGCGCCTGCGAGGGAGAGGGTCGAGCATCTTCCAGATCGAACCTTCGCTATCGTCACCCTTCGGCGCGAGTTATGGCACGGGATACGGCAGTCTGAGTTCGCGCGTCAACGAGTCGTCCATGCGCCATGCCGGCCGACTCTTCACAGAGCAACAGATGAAGGGCGTTGGGGAGCCAGAACAAGAACGAGAGCCGCTCCTGGTCAAGCAGGTTGAGGAGGATGGACACATTATCAACGTAGTTGTTGGTCAATCCACCCTACCCCAGACAATCTTCAACTCCGTCAACGTTCTGGTCGGCGTTGGACTGCTCACGTTGCCACTTGCGCTCAAGTACTCTGGATGGCTGATAGGCATGGTTTTCCTCGCATGGTCTGCCATAGTGACTGGCTACACTGCAAAGCTCCTAGCCAAATGTCTCGACGTTGATGGTTCTCTCATTACCTTTGCTGATCTTGCCTACGTCTCTTTTGGAACCAAAGCGCGAGTGGCCACCAGCATTCTGTTCTCGCTGGAGCTACTAGCAGCATGTGTAGCATTGGTCGTGCTTTTCGCTGACAGTATGGACGCTCTCATCCCCGGTTGGGACGTCTTCCAATGGAAGATTGTCTGCGGGCTGATCTTGATACCATTGAGCTTCCTACCCCTCCGCTTTCTGTCATTCACATCTATTTTGGGTGTAATGTCTTGCTTTGGAAGTGAGTCAATAACCACATGCTTCATATACGTCAGCTAACACGAAATAGTCACCCTCGCTATCTGGGTCGATGGACTTGCCAAACCCGACGCTCCCGGCTCCATTCGTCAGCCAATGACCCAATATTTGTTCCCCGACAACTGGATGACCGTGCCACTCTCGATTGGTCTACTCATGTCTCCTTGGGGTGGCCACTCTGTTTTCCCAAATATCTACCGCGACATGCGACACCCATACAAGTACAGGAAGGCCGTCAATGTCACCTACATCTTCACCTACTTGATCGATGTCGGTATGGCCTGTGCTGGTATCCTCATGTTCGGAGACGGTGTCAAAGAGGAAGTGACAAGCAACATCTTCCTCACCAAAGGCTTTCCTCAAGGCATATCCGTTTTCATCGCCATCTGCATCGCCATCATTCCGTTGACCAAGATCCCGCTCAACGCACGCCCTATCGTCAGCACGTTGGAAGTTCTCTTCGGTCTGGACACGCGCTCCCTGGCCATGTCCTCGTCCATCGACGGCATGAGCGGACTCACTCGAGGAGCGCTCAAGATCACCCTTCGCATCGTTACCATCGTCATATTCGTTATCATCGCAATCGTATTTCCTTCATTCGACCGCATTATGACACTCCTCGGCAGTGTCGCCTGCTTTAGCATTTGCATCATCCTACCCTTGGCGTTTCACTTGAAATTGTTCGGAAAAGAGATATCTAGTGGGGAGAAGACGATGAACTGGGTGTTGATTGTCGTCAGCACTATTATGGCTATCATCAGCACTGTTTTTGCATGCCTGCCCAAAGAGATGATTGGGGCTTAGGAACGAAAGTATGGAGATCATGACGATGTCGGAATGACAATAGTTGTCTGGTAATGTGTTTGTTTAGTAAAAGTTTGATATCCGGGTGCTAATAGGTATGGCGTTCTTGTGCATTTGGAGGGTTGTTCTCAATATGGAATATTATTTTGCATAGCATCAAGTGAGTTTGAGGTCTGCATTCTCCCAATGTGCTTCTCGTGTGTTGGTCAACATAGAGGCAAAACTGAACTCTGACGCTTCACCGCTTACTGGCTGTGTTTGCTCTCTCATCTTTTACTGCGATGGTATTTCCTCACCATCCTACTTAGACCGACTTATCTAGACCGCCTTGTCGATTGCCTGCCCCCCGATATCGCATCCGCCATCTTCAACCATGCACACATATATGTAGGCGGATTTATTCGATTTCCTGATATCTTATTGAGACACTTTCGGCGGACACTTGTGGAGGGAATTACCAGATTCGGCTGTTTCATTATACATTTTTATCTTTGGGATCTACAATATTCTTAATTCAACATCCGTTGCAACTAGCCAAGAATGTGGGCGGGTCTCAAATCACGCTCGATGAGGGTCTTGCTGTTGTTCGCAACTTCTGTTCTGGCTATTGTCCCCCCAGCCGCTCCTTCCAACACTACACTCGCATTCTTCACCAATTCTACCTTCGCCAACAAACTTCATTTCGATGCCGCCACCGAGCCGTTTACAGCAGCCGACGACGACCGATGGACACTGGCTGTCGCCCGCGGTGCCAAGCTCCTCCAAGGCATGAAATCCAGCGACGCTGAAGCCGCGGCTCTCTACAACCTAGGCACCACTGCGGAAAGTCCATTCGACGGTGATCTCGTCGCCAAGCTGCGTGAATGGGGCTACAACGATGCGAATGAAGCTCTCGCCAAACAGGCAGACCCAGAATGCGACTTCGACAGCTCTTCAACCCACCTGCTGAAGAGAGCCTTTGACGATCTAGGCATTGGAACTAAGAGCATGCGACAGGGTGGTCCAAACCAGTGTTTCAAAATCGAGCATTGCTACAGCCCAGCGGTGTTGAAGATAGATGGCGAGATGCCCGCCATAGATCATCAAATATACGAGGTGTGCGGCAAATACTACCGCGTTACGAACGCAGGCTTCAACATCGGCGCCAACTCACAAGCAGGCGCAATATACGCGAATTCTCTTTACTCCGCCGCAAAAGGAGCAAGTGTGCTGTGGGACCGCGTTCCCCTTGCCGATGAACTGCCTGCTATACGCAGTGCCTCGGACATGGCGTGGGCGTTCTGGAATCGCGTTCATACCAACAGGCGGAACTTTCAGAACATCAGGTATCTATTCGTTATGCTGATCGTCAATCCAGAGACGACTCGACACATCGAGCGTGCGCTGGGTACGCTGTCGCCACCGAAAGAGGATCCGGAGCGGTGGCCAGGACACGATTTTAGCATGGATACGGACGCTGGAAAAGCTCTATTGGGAAGTCCTGTTGGGAGATGGGCTGGCTACTTTCTCATGCAGCACAAAAGACGGTTGGGGGGTAACAAGTTCATCTCCAAGGTGAGAGTGTTCAAATCAGACGAAAAGGGTAACTGGCCCTATCTCTTGTTTTATGTTGCCGGTCCCACGGCATCTGCAGCGAGCGAAGAGGAAATTGCGGAGGGTGTTGATGTATACAATGAGACCCGAGTAGTGCGAAGAAGTGAAGATGGAAAACAAGTTGTTCGGGAGCATGTTCTAAGGATGACGCTGCCCAGGTAGTGTTTTGTTGTTGCTTCCATTCATGACATCGGACCTTTTGTCAATCTGGCACTTTGGACCTTGGAAAAGAGAGAGTATATAGAATGCGATATCATATCTAGAGACATAAGGAAGTCTGGCAAATCCAAACCTTGTGACTGCTCGTCTCACCCCAAAGGCTGACTAACGCGCATCGGTCCCTCCGCGGCTGAACCTCCGATGCGCAAAGCTTCAAGTACGTCAATCCACACAAAAACTACCTACAGCCCGCACTTGCAACCAGCCACACCGTCTTCGTCCTCCACCCGAATAACCTCCCGATACATACCGGCGCAGTCTCGCGACCACACATACACACAAGAGAAAAAGATGGATTCCCTAGGTGGTGGCGGTTTCGGCAATGCCGACTTGAGCAAGCTGTCCGACCGCGACAAGCAGGAACTGCAGCAATTCGCTATGAATGAGGGACAGAAGGCTAGGATTCAATCTTGTACGTCTTTTTATTCCTTTAAAAGCTCTCTTGCGACGAATTGAGTCTATGCACTATGCCTCTACCACCTCCCTCTGTGGATACAACCGCCCTCGACCAGCACACCCTCCACCCAAAGCCCTTCCTTCCCGCCTTCCCATGTCCCACTCCCATAAGTACCCATTCGCTAACTCGGCTTCTCCAAATAGCGATACACTCCCTCACCGACACATGTTTCCGCAAATGCATCCCCGCGGGTACCGTCAAGGCAGGCAAATTGGACAAGTACGAGGAGCCGTGCATGAGGCAGTGTGTGGATCGGTTCTTGGATGCGAATATGGTTGTGCTGAGGGAGTTGGAGAGGTTGAGGGGATAGATGGTGTATGGGAAGAGAGGGGAGGGGTGACACGGGAGTGTATGATAATGAGACTTGATGATCTGTACAACACTGCATAGCGGGAAGTGTCGGGTGTATGGCATTTGGAATGGAGATATGAGGTACATGATAGACATTGCGCTGCGTCCAGCATTGCATTGATCTCTCCTACCCAGCAAACTTTCATGGTTATTCGAATCTTTCTTTAATCGAAAGATCAAGCTATGTTGCAGGTCCAGGAATCACAATTCAGGAAAGAACGATGTCACAGCACGGAAATGTAAAGGTTGTTGAGGACCAAGTCCAACTTGGCGTCATGTGGAAATCTGATTCATTCGAGTCACCGTGACTACGTTTATCCCATGAACGCCCGCCATGCATATCACATCGCTTTTTCCATTGCCGGGTATAACCAGACCCTATCATGACCATGCCTTCCCTTATACAGAGACCACCTCTTTAAACGATGGCGAGCTTGGTGGCCGCAATGTCGAGAGCGTCGACATCGGCGGTGAGGCGGCAGAAAGCCTTCTTTGAGCCGTCGGGGCGGATCAGGGTGTTGATCTTGACGCAGCTGACGTCGTACTGCTTCTTGAGGGCGGCGGCGATTTGGCGCTTGTTGGCCTTGACGTTGCAGATGAAGACGAGGGTGTTGTTCTCCTCAATCTTCTTCATGGCCGACTCGGTGTTGAGAGGGTGGATGAGAACCTTCTCGGCGTCCATGCGGGGGGCATGGGGGACCGACTTGCGAGGGTACTTGCCGGCGCGGGACAGCTCGAGGGTCTTGGGGCTGCGACGCGTTAGCAGGCAACATCTCGCAGTCTTGGAGTCGGGCATACCGGTGGAAGCTGGTGTTCTTCCTGATCGCGCGCTTCTTGTTCGCATACGACTGTCATCTCGTTAATTGTGCCCATCACACGAGAAGTACAGCCCGTCAGAGGTATGTTTCTGACACGACTCAAGAGGATCAAGGGAGGCTTACGCCGCGGAGGGCCGCTTTGGCAGCAGCATTGGCCTGCTTGCCAGTCTTGGTAGGGGCTGTCAATAATGTTAGCGATGAGCGCAATGGGAGGGTCGCTGATCGAGGCGCATTCGCAAAGTTCCCTTTTTCCACAGGCTGCTGCCGCGGTCCGGTGCCACTTTGCGACATTTATGCTCGTCCTCGATTTCGCGGTTGCGGTGTTTGCGTTGACGTACTCTTGGATACGGCCTTGGGTCCCATTTTGGCGGTTGTGGTGGTCCTGGAGTTAGTGTCGAGAGTCGCAATCGAAAAGTTGTGGTTTTTGCTCCGGCTACAAGTCGAGTGTGGGAAGAAAGCACGCTAACACGCTAGCGCCAAATCCTTGCATCTGAGCTCTCGGCGTCGCTCATCCATCACCTTACCTCAGCCATGTGACTGCAACATCAAAATCGTCATGACCGTCAAAAAGCGCCAAAAGACTCTGTCGCATGGTCGACCACCCGTCAGCAAGCCAAAAGAGCGGATGACCTCGGAGCGCTCCAGGACTATCATTCGCACCCATCACCGACTACAAAAGGAGCATGCAGCAGCCTTGAAGAAAGGGGATGTGAGCTCGGCAGAAGAGATCGCGCGAGCTATCGAAAAGAATGGAGGCATCAAGATGTATCAGGCTGCAAGCAAGCAAGGTCAGGCGAAAGACAGGGGTGGTGATTCTAGCAAGCTGTTAGTCGACTGGCTCCAGCAATCCAAGGTTTTGGACCCCAAAGCACGGGATCGTCGTAGGGCTGGCGACGCCGAACTCAGATGTCTCGAAGTTGGAGCTTTGTCAACCAAGAACGAGATCTCCAAGTACGCAAGCGTCATCGACATGACGAGGATCGATCTGAACAGTCAAGGGCCGGGCATCGAAAAGCAGGATTTCATGGAGCGCCCACTTCCTACATGCGACGATGAGCGCTTCGATATTATCTCCCTATCTCTTGTACTCAACTATGTTCCGGATGCAGTTGGTCGAGGCGAGATGCTCAAACGTATCACCAAGTTCTTGAGAAAGGGCGTTGCATGGACTGAGACGGCCGATTCCGTGTTGCCAGCTCTATTCTTTGTTCTACCTCTACCGTGCGTCGACAACTCACGCTATCTCGACGAAGAGCTGTTTCTGGCAATCATGGGCGATCTAGGTTTTACGATGAGATTCAGCAAAAACACTTCAAAGCTGTGCTACTACTTGTTTACCTTGACAAATGAGCCCAAGGCTACGACGGCTGAGAAAAGGAAGATCAGAGACGGACCGGGAATGAACAACTTCTGCATCGTTGTGGAATGAACGTCCAGATGACGGCAGCTTGTCATTAGTTGCTAGATTACGCCGTCCACAACTCTACTCGGCGACGAAGCAAGGCGAGAACGCGCTCAAGCGCGATTGGTTCATCATACAAGTCAAAGATGACCAGGACGAAAATACTCTCGTATTCTTTGCGAAGACCAAGATGTCGCGACATCGCAGCGGTTCTGGCTGGCATGGCCCTGTTCCAAGCGGAGACTTCGACGTGTGTGCTGTCACTGCGACTACGACAATTCTGGCTACACCCGAATGCAAGCGACTTCTCAGCGAACAATCTCTCTGGAAGGAGCCGATATTTAGATTGACGGTAGGAGTACCACTGACGCCATCGCGGGGCTGTTATTGTATGCTCTAGCCTGTTGTACTTGTATGGGGAAGGCTTCGGATCCACATCTACGCATCCTTACATCCGTTTATGGATTCACAGTTCTGATATGGTCAACAGTCTACAGATTGGGTTCCATCTAAGCGCAACGTGGAGAACGCGGGATCATGTAGCAGGTTCGTCGACGATGTTGCGGGCGTCTACCGAGTCAACAATATCCACCGGACCATCACCGGACTACGCTCGGTATTTCGTGTAATATATACACTGGTTCTAGACTCACTAGTAGTTACCACGCGACTGTACTACACGGCCGATAAAGTCCCGAAGTGCCACAAATCGGTTTCCTTGAAACGCTTTGGTTCCCGAATTAGTATCGCATAGCCACACAACACACTTGCGGCGTTACTGCTAAACAACGCATCATGCTACGGCTGCGCAACAGGCAGTTGTAGAACGTCGCTTGCGGTGTTCTACTTTTCAAAATCCGGTTCCCGGCAGCGAATTTCAAAAATACTGCGTGTTCCCGTCTTCTCATCTCACGCATGTTTGATCGCCTTTTAGCGCATCCTACGGCTTAGCGCCACACGACTCACAATGCCCCCAACTCATCATACCAAGCATTGACACAAGCATTTTCTGAAACGGACTCTGACTTGCTCAACCCCAAACGCCCGTCAATCAACGGATGCATATCACTGGGGCTGGACTAGAAAAAGGCGAGAAGCGCGTGGGTACCTGGCCGGCATTTTCCCGCTACGTTCGGTGGGTCGAGACAACGGAATTGGTGATCAAGAGATGAGCTTATTCGCATTCCTCCCGAGCGCAAATTTCCACATGTTAGTTTACTGCGTGGCGCTGCGTTGGGTTAGTCAAGTAAAATGAGATGTAAGCGTTGTTTGAGGCCTTTATGTAGGGCGGGGACGCCCTTTCGTAGAGCTTCAAGCTTCTGGTAACTCTCTCAACACGAAGTCGAACTTCCATCTTTTTTTGCAAGCCGCTGAGCTGCTGCCATTCATTACTTGGACTCGTTGATACGATCCTACACAGTCTTTTCCAACAAGTCGTCGTTCGAATTCCATCTTCCGTCACTCCATCAAACAGTCATCAGACACCATGAAGTCCACCTTCTTCTCTCTTCTCCCCATCGCGGGTCTCGCTGTTGCTGAGTCCGTCTGCTCCCAGCAGACTGTCACCACTACCGCAACTGAAACAGTGTACGAGACTGCAAAGCCCGTGGATGTTGCCGACGCCACCGCTAGCAAGTCTGGCGCTTGCTCCTCCAGGAGCACTGTCTACACCACCACCTACGAGAAGGTCTACGTCACTGTCACTCCCGGTGCTGGCTCTGCTACTCCCGACGCTGTCGAGGATGTCACATCCACTAGCACCAAGGAGATCCTCACCACCGTCACCGTTCACCCAACCGGTGCTCCCTATGGCAACGCCACGACCTCTGCTCTCTTCAAGCCTGCAGGATCTTCCAGCTCGCCCTCCTACCCTACCATGAGCGTTCTCCCGACCACCAAGCTGGAATACAGCTCGCTTGCCTACACTCCGATCCCCCAGAGTGAAGCATCGAGGTCCTATGCTGCCGCCCAGTCATCCAGCGCTGCCGCAGTGCCTGCCTCCGAGTCCAAGGCTCCAGCTCCTGCCGCATCCCAAGCCGCGGCTCCCGCTGACAAGGCTGCCGTCTCATCTGCCGCCTCCAAGCGCGGCGAAGCCACTTTCTACGGCGGAAACACTGAGGGCGGAATGTGCTCTTTCGTCGGCTACACCATCCCCGCCGGCCTCTACGGCACCGCGCTCTCCGACTCCAACTGGGACAACGGCAACGCCTGCGGTGTGTGCGTCAGCGTAACCGGCCCCAACGGTAACAAAATCACTGCCATGGTCACCGACCAATGCCCAGGGTAAGCAACCTCCCTTGACAAATTCCCACAAGAAACCCCCTACTAACTCCACCACAGCTGCGGCCCCAACCACCTCGACCTCTACCCCGACGGCTTCGCCAAACTGGCAGAGCCCTCCAAGGGCATAATCAACGTCGACTGGACCCCCGTCCCCTGCGGCATCACCACCCCCATCGTCCTCAAGAACAAATCCGGCACTTCGAAGTTCTGGTTCAGCATGCAAGTCATGAACTCCAACGTGGCCGTCTCCAAACTCGAAGTCTCCGTAGACTCTGGCAAGACCTGGCAGGCGACTACCCGTAAGCCGTACAACTTCTTTGAGAACCCGGCTGGCTTTGGCGCGGATAGCGTCGATGTTAAGATTACGAGTGAGGGCGGTAAGGAGATTGTGGTCAAGGGCGTTAGTATTGCGGCGGATAGTAAGAAGACTGCTGGTGGCAACTTTGCTTAGAGTGCAGTGAGACTGAGAGAAAGGGAAGAGAAGAGGGGTTTGGTTGATGGGCTTGAGGTTTTTGATGATGGATGATTCTTTTTGATTTAAGCGATACCCTTCTTGATGCCTTGTTGATTCGTTTCTAAATATCTTTCGTGGTATATATCTTTTTGTTTGCAGCGTGGACTGCAGTTGCCATTTGAATGGATAAAATGGTGTCATCCTTTGGCTTTCGAAGTGCTTATGTGCTACATTGTGCTTAAGTCTTGTCCAAGTTCCTGTCTGTCTAAGCTAGAGAACGACATTATATAGCCGCGACTTTGCAGTTGGAGGCTGGCATACCTTACTATAACTTCGCACTGACGCGACGCCAACGGGATCGCTGTTCATGAATATCAAGAGGCACACCCGAGGTAGCTCGATCTACGGCAGTCCTTCACACAAGCCTCGATGGCCGTTAGTCGTGCACGTATTGATGAAGAAAGATAGACCTCGACACACTCACATCGTCGCACAGATCAACAGCAAGATCATCATGATGACGATTCTAGGTTCCGTATTGAGAGTAGAAAAGATCTATCATAGGAAAAGACCAACCGGACTCCACCCATGCTTGACATTCATTCGTGCGTAACATCCCTTTCGCAATCCCTTCATTCCAAAGTAAGTTCCCCGTGCTTTCGTTACCATTACCAATCATCAGGTCATAAGGAGGGTATCGAAATGCGCTAGACATATCCCGTCGATGGTTTCATCTTCGCTCACTCGTTAGAGGTGTTTCATCGTTTCAGGGTGTACGAGGGTTCTTCGCGAGTTTGCTCAGGGCGCCGAGAAGACCTGCGGGATGTGTTAGTGGAGTCTTGTTAGAAAATCAAGAATGCGAACTTACCGGTTGCGCCGTTGGGCAATGTCGACATGGCGATTGAGTTGCGATCACCGACGGTGACGGTCTGAACATTGGGAACCTTCCATTCCTCCTTCAACTGCTCTGCCCAGCGGAACACACCCTCATCACTCCGGTCGTTTCCAGCGGCAAACACAAAGTCAGGTCGACCCTTCTCAGGGTACTTGCTGAAGATGTATTGTGAAGCGGAGGCCTTGTCAAAGTCGATCGGCTCAATGACAACTGAGTCCTTGGTGGGAACCGCCTTTATGCGCTGCTGCTCGCATGCATCGTTAATGTGGTTGGCACAGTCACCAGCATGTCGGCTTGCGGAATCATCCTTATCGTTGGGGGCTCTGTAGTGGAAGATCATGGAGCAGTGGCGCTCTTCAACCCAACTACCCTCGACACGCTCGAGGTAGTACTGCAAGATGGGCTTGACGGAGTCTTTCCATTTCACAGTCTTCTCTTCGTCGGGAAATTGTATCCACTCTTTCGCGCTGGGTTCGCGCAAGAAGCAACCATTCTCCGCGATGAGACCGAGACCTCGCACGCGGTTAAAGATAAGCTCAGTCTCTCGAACAGTACGTCCAGTCATGACGTAAACATCGTTCTTTTCATCAGCAACAAGGTCGTTCAGCACGACAATGACACGCTCGGTGTTCGCCAGGACGGTGTTGTTAACAGATCCGTAGGATGCGAGGGTGCCTTCGTAGTCGAGTACAAAGAGTCGTCGCTGAGATGCCTGGTAGGTACGCGCAAGATTGCTGGACGAAAGACGGGGAATGGACATGGTGTCGCGCTTGAACTGCTCCTCGTGGACCTTTGAGAGATGGCAGCTGAGGTTGTTAACCCAGAAGTCACCAGTCTGGTGCATAACCGTATCGCGCAACTTGGTATATCTGCGTTCCTTTTCGGAATCAGTCATCTCCAAGGCGACCTTGAACGCTTGTGCGATGCTGTTGTAGTCCCAGGGGTTCACAGCCAAGTCGGCACCTTGGAAGACTGAAGCACTTCCGGTGAACTCACTGAGGATGACAGGACCGTGCTTCTTCGGACTCGCGCGACCGTCCTGGCAGATGACGAATTCGTGGCAAGTAAGGTTCATGCCTTCACGAAGACTGGTAATCGCGAGGGCATCGGCAATGGAAAGAAGCGCGAGATATTGCGAAAAGGCGATATCCTGCCTCAGGAAGACGAGAGGGTTGTGCGTCAAGGTTGAGTGAACCGCGTCGATGCGAGTGACGATCTCTGAGACGGTTGCAGCGAGTTCAGTGTCTTCGGTGGTAGATGTGGCGACTTGGATCATAACAACCTTGTCTTTCCACTCGGGGTTCTTGTTGAGGAACAACTCGAACGCTAACAGCTTCTGCCTGACACCACGGATGTTGTCGAGCTTGTCGCGAGCAACGATGACCTTCTTGCCTTCGTACCGCTTCTGCATGGTCTGGATCCACTCCAACACCTCAGGTTCTTCGCGGGCCAGGGCGAGAGCGCGAGGATCAATACCGATAGGCGATGAGTGTACGTTGACGAAGCGGTTCTCAAGTTGGACACCGTCCTCAGTAGCCTCGACGGAGAGAATTCGACTGCACGTCTGCAGGAAGTGGTGGGAATACTCTGGTGTCTGGAAAGCGACTAGGTTCGCCCCGAGCATGCCGTTGAGCAGCTCCTTCCGCGCGGCCAAGCAGCGGAAGACCTCGGAGGAGGGGAACGCAGTGTGGAGGAAGAAGCCGATCTGTGCATCTGGAAGCTTCTCGCGGATCATCTGTGGGACCAGACACAGGTGGTAGTCGTGGATCCAGATGACATCTCCGCGCTTGTAGTTCTTGACGACCTTGTCGGCAAAGGCCTGGTTGACCTTGACGTAGAAGACCCATGAGTGGTCGAGGAAAGCCTTGCTCTTGGGGTGGTCGGGAATGATGTAGTGGAAGACTGGCCACAGGATGGTCTTGCAGTAGTGCGCATAGTGGCCATCGAAGTCCTTATCGCTGACGAAGACGGTGAGGGCGTCCTGCTCCTCCTCGAGCTTCTCGTAGATCTCCGTCTTCTTCTCCTCGTTCAAGCTGTCTGTGGGGAATCCGATCAAGCCGACGGTGATGGTGTCACTAATACATTTGTTGTCCACGGCACAGCGCAGCGCGTTGGTCAGGCCGCCGTTGCCCTGGACAGCTGGCACGACGGAGTACTCGGTGGCCCATCGCGGGTCCGTTGTAGGCTTGCCGGCGTGAGAGCCCTTCATGCGCTCCTTCTGGGCCTGCGCCCGCTCCTGCGCCTTTGCGTATTCGAGGATGGTGTCGGGAGGCGCTGGCTCGGCCCTGGACATGGGCTGGTTGAAGAAGAGACCGGTAGTACCCCATTCGGGGACATGGGCATCGCTACGTACCAGGCCCCGGGGGTCTGCTGGCTTGGGGAAGTGAGTGGCCGCGCTGGGCTGGCCGGGCGTGAAGAAGTCCTCATGCTCCGTCATACGCATGGGCGTCTTGGGCAGCTGGATGTGTGTCGGCGGCGCCCGCTTAAGGAGGCTCGGAGTCTGCTCTTCAGTTGCATTCTTGCTGACGGGCCGCGATTTGGCTATGCTAGTAGCGGAGGACTCGCGGGCGGTCTCGCTCAGCTTCGGGGGAGCGGCGTCTGGCGGGCTTGGGGGGTTGGACTTGGACTCGTGGAAGTCGACGGTATACGGGAGGAAACTAGCGCTGTTAAAGGGCGAACGTGGTGCAGATTGGAATCATAGTGCGCTATCTACAGGTTGATTCAGGCTGACAAGTGAAAAGCGGTACCTACAGGGAGACGACGTGGGTGGTCATGTTGGGCAGCAGTCTGGCGTGGGCGCCCGCTGGTCAGAGATTGAGGTTGTAGAAATGGTGGAGAAATGGCAATCAGATATAGGCGGGAGAAGCGGGTCCTGCGCAATGGCTTGGGGCAGACGAGGTGAAGTTATAGAGGCGGTGGGCGCGCGCAGTGAAATTTCCGGCAGCTTCGATCGATCGTGATGGCCTAGGTTACGCGTGTCGAGGCGGGCCCAAGCAAGAAAGCGCTGCCGGCGTGCTGGGCTGGGGGTTGGGCAAATTCAGGATATCTGGCTGCTGTTCCTGGATGAGGCGTGCGGCTTACGGCAAGGGGCGTACTTGATACTTTCGTGTCCATGGCCGCAAATTGCAAGATTTCAGCCCCGCGGTATGACGTACGGCCACACCGGCACGCACAGCGCGTTTGGTGGGCCTCTCCACCGTCGCACTGCAATCAGCGAAGGCCTTGACTCGACGACGGTCATCTTTACGCAAGTTGCACGGAAGACCGTCGTCAGACAGTGCCGGCGCCTGCTCTGCTAACCTGACAGCTGCGGGAGCTTCCCCATTTAGTCGCGCATCACTGTGCCCCGCCCGCCAATTAGACACACGCCGGCTCGTGCAACCGTTGGGGCCATGAACCATAGCCTGCCTCCGTCCTGCGCGCTGAATCTCCCGAAGCCAGTCGCCGTCTGTGCAGCCCGCGCACTTTGCAACCTTCACGTGAAGGCTCCCATCTCGATGGGGGTTGGTGGGAAAGTGTTGAGAGCGACTCCAAGGCTAGTGCGCCGTCATGGCATTTCAAAGAATCCGATAGTGCGCGCAGAATTCGATGTTGACCTGCAGCGTGACCCTCCCGCGGCTCACTCCCCCCACATGCTGCTATATTTTCCATGCATGCCGTCTGCAGAGACTTGACGAATCAGCCGTGCTGAACGCGCGCTTGGAATAGACGGGAAGATTGGAGAAACTACGTGTATGCTGCAGGCCTTGAAACTCTGACCGCGTAGAGCGTCTCACGCATATATCGAGATATCATGCTACCTGGAACCGACACAAACTTCGCCTCACCCTGCCACGGCCTGTCTCGGCCACAGTATATGCGCCAACATGATATTTCCTTGACAACCCGAACTTGTCGACTACGCGAACACACTGAAGACCGCATCGCTAGCTCTTAGTTCATAGAGCTGGACGTGCATGCATCATGTAAGGAACGTATCAAGCAAGAATCTTCACTCCAGCATGTAGGCTTCGTTGGGCTGACCATGACATACTGCATGCAACCAGATCGAACCGTAATATATATATGCATCTCAACGGTAGTAAGGTCACATCTCAGATCAAGCCTTTCTCGAAGCCTTCTTCGGAGCCTTCCTACCCTCAATCTCCTTCCTACTCTCCGCCCCCTCCCCAGGCACACCAAGCCCCACCAAATACGCCGCCCTCACAAGCACCGGCAGCACATTCAGCGAATTAGTAACAACATCCTTCTGGCTCCAGCTCCCCAGATCCAACACCCCCCTCGTCCCCATCTCACACCAAGCCGCATAGCAATGCCCCAAATCACACAGTATCAGCCCCAGCACAATCCACCACCACGTCTTCCGATCTTTCACAACGCGCATCAACACGCCTTCCGTGAAGGCGAAGAAGAGGTATGCGGATGCGAGTTGGTCGTACGCGATCTGCGAGTCGGGGTGGTACGCGGATGTGGACGGCATGAAGGTAAAGTATTCGGCGGGCGCCCAGTGGAGGTGGTATGTGCCGCCGAGGGCGAAGATGGGCTCGAGGTAGAGGTGCCAGAGGAGGTAGATGAAGGGCGTGTTTGGGGGCGCCATGGCGGGCTGTGTGGCTGCGGCGAGGCAGGGTTTGTGCAAGGGATGGTCGCTCGTTCCGTTGTGCTGGGTACAGTGAGGGTCTGGGATCTACGTGATGCGACGCGGTATAATGAAGCGCGCGATTGCCGTTCTTCGGAGGATATGAATCAACTTATGCGACACCAGCGCGCTCTGGTGAACAATGTTGATGACGTAGCTTAACAGCCCGCAATGCGAGGGTTCCGGTCACCGGGACAAGGGCATGCCAAGTTGCGGAGCGCCTGACCCTGCTACCACGGCAAGTAGCGGGCGGACGAGCAAAACGAGTCCGGAACATGCCAACACTGCAATCTACACTTGTTGGTAAACTGCCTTGTTGGGAAGTGTGGGCATGAAACGGACTTCCGGTGAAGATATGGTAATCGTCTCCCTTCGTTTCACGTCTGGCGTGGGTGCGAGTAACTTTTGGGTAACGAGGGATTAGAGGTCGAGAGTAGGTACTGGTAGACATGTCACGCGCGCGGCTTACAGGCGGCGCAACCAAGTCTACATGACAGCTTGGACAGGTGTAATAAAAAGACGTCAAAGCGGAGAAGCGCGGTATAGACCGTGGACAGTGTTGTAAGGTAATTACAGATTTAATTGACTCGCTCTGGGGCTTTATGGTCCCAGCAATGATGCGCGTGGATCATCGAAATAGATTATAATAATACATATCCGCCCAAAAACACGAAACGCTCCAAGAATGTAAAACTCCTTTCCTCCAAGCTGATTTCGCCCTGTGCATGTAGTACCCCAGCATGCGCCGATGAGAGGATGCTACCTGCCTGACTCCTGTTGCCCGACACGTCTTGTGACTGACCGGTGCGTGTTGGCCCTTCTTATCTTACGACTTCGCGGTTTGTCGGATTTCTGGTTGACCAGGAACATCGCTGAGCTCTGAAATCGCCCGCGAGTCGTCGATCAGGTTGTGGTGGCGATGCGCATCCCAGATGCGATTGTCCGACATGTTTGATGGACATGACATACCGCCTGACGGGTTGAAAGCACGGGTATGATGCAGGACGGCAGCGGACCCTGCAGGTGACAAAGGGTACCGTGGAACCTGGGGACCAGACCATTGCCCCGGGTCCACGACATCTTGTATTCCCAAATGCGTCCATCATTCCATCCTACCCTCTTGCACATACACGTTGTGAGGTCCCGCACCGCAGTGCAACGCGCCGCTCGCCAGCTGTGTGAACTTCGGGTCAATAACATCGACAAGACAATGTTCGACAAAGTACCGCGCCGCGAGTTCATTCGCTGCCAGCATGCTCGGGCAAGTCCCTACGACCTTTGTATCCTCGCCCAGGTCGCGGTTCTTGCTGCTGACTACCACATGATACGCTGACCGGCCGTCGTGCGCCCGCGGAATCAGCTTCTGCGAATACAGGGCATCGCGCAGGGCGAGCGGGTATGTGCTGATGTCGCCGGGGACGATGGCGGGTTCGGGGCGGCGATGGACGAGCTGCGGTGCGGCGGCCTGGAGGGGAGGGGGCTGCGACGCCTGGGAATAGGGATGAGGCTGTGGGTATGCCTGAGGAGTTGGGGGCGCTGGGCCGCTGACTACCGACGAGGTAGGAGCCAGCCGCGGTTGCTGCTGCTGATGCCGGAGCAGGAAGTCGCGATGCTCGTCGAGTTGTTTCCGCAGGGCGTCGCTCGTGGTCTGGAAGATGCGCTCCTGGACGCCTGGCCCGAGGTTGCGCGAATAGTGTCGCAGGTCGGCGCTGCAGTCGAGCTGCAAAAGGCTGTGTTGGCGATCGAAGCCATGCGAACGTGCTGGTGCTGTTGCTGTCATTTTCAGAGGGGCGGTTTGCGCGACTGGACACGGTTATAGTAGATGGTGATGAAAATCTGATATGATGTGCATGACGCGGATATTCGCAAATCTTGGAAAGGCCCGGAGCCATTCCCTCCCGTATTCGCGTCTCCACGTGATCTGGCGTGGCAGTATCACGACGCGAGGTGTGTGTTATTGCTTTTGGGCTATTGTATCGAAAATTGTTTTTGTTATACGTGTTGGTGCGTAGCTGTGCTACAGTACATCTGGGGCTTCTGCGCCAGAGCCATTCCTTGTACATGGGTCGTTACATGACGTCGTGAGATCGGTGGGCGTGAACATGAATAGAAACTGACGATGCTGCCGGGATACTCCTCCAACAAGATCGCGCCGAAACTCCATCAGTGCCCACCGTGAAACGCCATGCTAACAAAAAGGAATCAACCCACTATTAAAATCTCGTTAGAGAAACATCATACAATCAAACCCCTGATCGTCGTGTAAACATCGCCTAGGCGAAACCACCAACAGACCGCACGCGAGTGTTGTTACCGTTGCTAGGGGGCCATAACTCTGAACGTGGGACAACAATCTCACTTCACGGAGTTGTAGCTGACGCGCTTGACAAGCTTTAGAATCCGCCGCCGAAAGCATCGTTGGCCTCTTGCTGGAGGGCCTCGTAGTACTCGCAGAGGTCAGGGAACGCCACTATGGTCTGCTTGACCGGGAAAGGGATGTCGCAGACGATCTTCTCCCAGTCCTTGGGACGGTTGCGCACGACGCGGATGAGCTCTTCCATGCAGTTCAAAGACATGCTGCACATCTTATGAGCCCATCCCATGTCCACGGAACCGTTGAGATGCTCTAGATCCTGCGTAGCGGGGTTGATCAGGATAGACCAAACGAAGTTCTCGTGAGTGGGAGACGGCTCTACGGGCGATGTAGCAGGCGTTCTTCCGTAGGCTGCACCCATTTGGAAGAACCGCTCCCAGACCTGGTCGAAAAGGCTTGCGAAGGGGCTTGCTGGGACCCTGCTGCGAGAGTTTCCCGAGTCATACTGACCTTGACGGAAAGCTATCTCCTGTACAGCTAGATACTCGGGGATGTCGGTCAACGTGCGTGGGAACGCTGGCGCAGGGTTGACCATGGTGGATGGATGACGCTTGGACTTGCTGAACGACGCGAGACCGGATGAACGCCAGTTATCGGACCTCTGGCCCATGTGGGAGATGCCACGTTGTGAACCAGAGTCCTTGGGATGGTTGATCTTAGCCGGCGCTATCTTCTGGGTGTAGTCACCGTACTGCTGGGTGCCCTGGGGAGAAGTGAACGATGGAGACGCAAGAGAAGGCGGCATGTTTCCGTTGACTGTCATAGGATGAGCTCGCTGAGGAGTTGTTGGCTTCATGTATGTTAGTCACAGCCCCTCGACATGCTAAGGTGAAGCGAAACCCACAAGCTGCTGCTTTGCGTGTGGCATCTGGTTGTTGACTGGTCCTCGAGAAGCATTCATAGGACGGCTCATGGCATTAGTGTAGCTGAGCTGCGACGATGATCCTCCAGAAACGGAGTGTGAATCAGTGGACGCGCTTCCATTGGATCCGTCTTCTGCCACGGTAGGCAAGGACTGTTCGTCCCGCTCGAAGCGCGGACGGAGTGGACTGCCATAGCCACCAGTCGGGCTACCGCCTATGAACCTACCCTTGGTGGGTGTATGTGCCTCGAGGACTGTCAACAACAAGATTCCACAGCAGATGCAAGAGCAGACGAAAGAGAAGACGACTTACCTGAGGTGATGAGAGAGACATGACTTCCACAATCTTAGCAACAATGATGCGTTAACAGCGCTATAGCGGGTGCGGAAGGTGCGGATCTTGGGGCGACGCGACCGTGTGAGCGTGGTGCAGTGGCGGAGGGAAGAGGGTGGACGCGGCGACGAAAGGCCTCGCCAAGCTGACAGCTTGAGCAAACAGGCTTCTAAGAGATTCAGTCGCGATAAGGTGAAAGTGAGAGCTCAAAGTGGGGTTCCGGACCCCAGATTCTCGTCGTGCCTTCTGCTTTGGTAGTCCGCGTGGTGAAGGTGAGTCCACGTCCGGAAGAGGAAAGAGCGAAAACATGACACTGGCTTGCCCTCAAACCAGAGATTCGTCCCAAAGTTCAATTGAAAGCTGGTATAACACGAAATCCTTGTGGGGCATATCGAGAACTGTTGGTTTTATTATGGAAAACTACGACGTAGTGTGGAGCCATAAGGACGAGAGCACCTCATACAAGAAAAAAACTAAACAGGTCTACAGGCTACATTAAGCCAAAACCTTGCAAAGGCGGTGACCCAGTGCTAATGTAGGCTCCAGGCTGTTCAGCTTTTTCCTAGGTTGGCGTGAGAGTGCACACATGCGACCTCCACATTGGAAACATGAAGAGAATTTGCATTGCGTTTCATACTGAAATTGTGGAAGTAGGGCTTGGAACAGTGGGATTTTGACCTTAGAAGGCAGAGTAATCCCGGAAATTTGCGCGGTGATTGAGACAGAGCGACAGATGGAGCCTGGACTGCTGAAGAGTTTTGGCAGAACGAGAGAGAAGCGTTCGTGAGATTTAAGTGCAAGCACAGTACGTGCAAAGAAATCAACCCCAAGGATTTGGAACATCGGCTATTCCTGAGTGAGTCGGCGTTGCAAGAAAATTCTACCTCATCAAGGCCGATCGGCTATATGGCATATACCTCTAACGTCGGCGTGATATGAGTACAGCAAGCCACTACGATATTACCGACCTTACAGTCACTATGAGTACCAATACTGGCTATGCGCAATTGATCACACGAGCATAAAGAAATTGCTTGTAGCCGAAATCTTCGTGTGCGGGGACCTTGCTGAGCTTTGCGATCTATCGCAACATGACTTCTTCAAAGACGTGCGTTCTGGAAAGAACCACACTGGGCGAACGATCTTTATGTGCGAGATGACTGTCACAAGTCTTGACGTTTTCGACGATGATGTAGTGGCGTCGAAGGGCCGAAGAAGCCGGAATCGTCCGACGAACATGCGCGACCAATCACGGGTTGGCAGTTGTCATAACCGAGGAAGCTTGAGTGGCGCCCTGACGCTACAACTTCGATGATAGCAACACTTTGATCTTTAAGCCCCAGCCCGCACTCTCCACTCCACACCACACACAATGGCCTCCACACGCGCTT